GGAGGAGTGGGGGTGGCAAGGGGGAGGAGGGGAAGAGGAGGGGCCACAGCACCGGGCTTGGCCTTTCCTGGCTCCCAGATGCCCTGAAGGCTTCTCGTTAGGCCCTGCCTGCTTCCTTTAACCACACCCTGTTATAATGTAGACATTGTAACTCAGAGCAATTGCTACAGTGCTCTTTACCTGAATGACTCATTCAGATCAGCAACATGCAGGGGTTCCAGCCCCTCTCCATCCTCACGCTCATGCGCTGTGCTTGAACTTTGAGTATTAGTGGCCCCTCTGGTGGGAAGTGCTGCTTCACTGGGACTTGGACTTGTTCTCGCCTGGTGCCCAGTGTTGATGGACACCTTAGTATGGGCTACTTGGCCATTTGTGTATCTTTTTAAAAAAGTATCTCTTCGAGTCCTTTGTCCAATTTTAATCGGATTTTATAGGTATCGTAGAATTATAGGACTTCTTAAATTATTCGAAATCTTCATCTATTATTAGATAAATGACTTGCAAATCCCTTCTCCCATTCCTTGGGCTGTCCTTTTGCTGTCTCACTCATGACTTTCAATGAGCAAAAGTTAGAGCGAATTTGCATTTACCTGCTTTTTCTTTGTGGCCCTGATTCTAGCATCACACTCAGAAGGTGCTGCCCAGTCCCAGCCGGGTAGGCATTTCCCCTGTGAAAATTTCTCCTGAGAGGCTTACGATGGTAGCTCTTGAATTTAAGCATTTACGTCTGATTTTGTATCTGATGTGGTGGGCAGATCCAGCTGCTTGCCTTTTTGCAGGCCGGCATCCAGTTGCCCCAGCACCATCAGCTGGACACTGCCCTTTCTCCATAGAAGGGTTTCAGAATCTTGTTCAGAGTCGGTGCACGTCCAGGTGAGGGTTGATTCCGACCCGTGTCCTGCTGTGCTGGTCCACATCTGCCCTGTGCTCTTGCTACACGCTCCTTTGGATTGATTACTGGTGCTTTCTGGTGCACTTTGGAGACTGGTAAATCAGCCCAGGCCACCAGCTTTGTTCTTTTGTTTCGGTGACAGTGAAACCCTTTGACTAGAACTCTTGTCAGGATGTTGAGACCAAGCCTCACACCAAGATTTGCTGCCCAGCCCTGACAGCTTAGAGGTCCCCTCTGTACACTGCCAGCAAGCTGGGCACTTGTTCTTAGTCAGCATTCATTGTGTTACTGTAATAAGTGACCTGAAACTTTACAGCCTCATTATCTTACCTCTGTGGGGTCAGAGGACCTGAAATCAGCGTGTGCAGGGTCCTTGGCGGAAACTCCAGGGCGGAAGCCGCCGCCTCCTTGCTTTCTCAGCTTCTGTCCTTTGAGCCCCTCTTCAGAGCCTTTCCCTCCAGGCTCTGCCCAGTGCATAGCTGCTTCCTAAGTTCAACTTTAAAAGAAAGGAAGCCTGGAAAGGTTTCATCTCTGTGAGGTAAAACAGAACAAAGCGTTCTCTGTGCCTCCTTGGTCTGCCCATACGCAGAGCTTAGGCGTCCGGTTCGAGGGTGTGGGGAATCCGTGGGCTATGTGGCAACCCCTCTTTCTCTTTGGCCTGTGGAACATTTTTCCCACTGGGGCCGTGGTCCTCAAAGACAGTTAATGTCTTTAGCTCTGTGTATCTTACGCCTGGGCACACAGGCTGTGTAAGATGTAGCCCCTGGCCTTGAGCACTCGGAGTCCCCAGGGGACGCACCTGGAGCACCAGAGCGGACACACTCACAGACGGCCTCCCGACGTCTCGCAGTCCTTCCTTCCCTCTCTGTCCTCCATTGTCATCTGTCACTAGGATTTCTGGAAGCAGTACAACCGATTTCCATGGCATCCATCAGACTCTTCTGGGCCCATTTCTGTCCCTGCAGAGGGGCTGCTGACCCTCTGCCTGAAGTCCTGCCCCCCTGTCATCGTCAGGAGTAGTGGCCCTCAGCATGTCTCCCCGGCACCGTCCATGTTGTGCTTCTCCTCCCACCCACTCCCAGGCCACGGGAGCACACTTGGCCCCAAGCCTGCTCGAGCTCCTGCCATCGTCCTTGCCCCAGGACCCCGCACAGCTGCAAGGCAGGGTCAGGCACCTACAGCTCCTGGGTAAGCCTTCTCCATCCACGTGCTGCGGGATCCGGGGACCACTCTGTAGATTGCTGCCTGGCTCTTCTCTTCCTCGAAGCAGATTTAACCTCAGTCAGGAACAGGCTGCTGCTTTCTGCTCTCTGCTTCCTACTATGACAGTGTGTGGCTCCTGAAAGATGGTCCCTGGGGTGGGCTACAGAATGTTGGGGCCCACGCTGTGTGAATGTGTGGTTTGGTATTCCTGCATGGGTCCTGGACTAGCGTAGGGCCAGCTCATGGACCCACCTCCGTCTCTGTGTGTCTCTCGTGGAGAAGCTGGGTCAAACTCTCTGCACAGCCACACAAGTGGCATCTCCTGAGAGTTCCCAGAGCACATGCAGGCCGGGCAGGGGCGCCTTCTGCCAGTGTGTGGGCTGAGGGCAGAACAGGCCAAAAGCTTGCACCCCGCACGAGGAGGCTTCCTGGCCTTGGGAGCCCCTCTACAACCTGGGAGCGTTGTGAGGAGTCACTGAGCACACACATTGAAATTCTCTTGAGTAAACATCCTGCTGAGGTTTGCTTCTACTAGGAATAATGTTGCAGGGTCTCTGTGACTGTATCCATGGCAGAGTCACGCCAGGAGCACCTGACAGCTTCTGTCCTTTCTGTTATTGTAATAAACAAAATATTTACTAATGTGACTCTGCCTTTCTTTAGGGCCTAAATTAACTCCATAAAAACTGGAGATTATTTTCCTTCCTTGTTTGAAAACAAGGCAACTTTAGCTTGATAGAATAATAAGTCTCAGCTTTCTACCAGCAATAGAATTTGCTTCTTGGGAGGAGGGTGGATCTTGGAGACTGCCGTGTGCAGTGCGGAGAACTCTTCCTCTTGTGTCAGTACTGCTTCTTCAGAGTCTCTTGGTGCTGCATGTCAGTTCCAGATTAGGCCATTTAGTAAAACACACACACACACACACACACACACACACACACACACACACACAGTTAGGCATTGTGGGATTATATATTCTGACTTACAGTATTTTAAGCTCTAAACAAGACTTTCTGCAGATAAACTAAAGCTATCGTGGCAGAGCTCTTCTTCGGTGCGCCTGGAGTTTCCTTCCGTGCAGCGGCAGCTCTGCTGGTGCAGCACAGCTGCTCCTGGGAGCTGTGGGCACCTGTCCCTGCGTGCATCCTGCGCGCTCGCAGCCACACTGCCCGTGCCGGAGGCTGTGCTTTCCCAGGCTGCCTGTATTCTGGTGGGAGGCTCTGTGTAGTCCTGCGCTCTCTGTGAGCAAGCCCTGGGCCTCTGCGCATCTGGCCAGCGCCAGTGCTGGGATCCTAAGGGCTGGCCACCTTTCTCCTGGGTCCCCTTGGCTCAGAGTTCAGGAGGGGTGTGGAGGTGCTGGGGGTTCGGCGGTTTTCCTGCTGCATCTTCTGTCCTCATGGCAGTGCTGCCAGGGGTCCTAGCTGCCCGGTGAAGGGACGGCACTAAGGGGTGCGGGTGGGTGTGGCACCCTGCTCAGCCTCACCCCAAACCGTGTCCATTAGGCCAGGCCACCAGTGAGAATTTCAACAGTGGAAGCTGCAAGGACCCTGGGTATTGCCAGTCTCGGAATGATGTGCTGAGCTTTATTCTTTTGCAGCTTTGCACTCTACAGCTTTAGATAAAAGCATTTTAATACAGCCCAAGGTCCCTCCATGCACACAGCTCCCCTGCTCCCCAGCTCCACTGGCTGCCTGCCCTGTCCTTAACCAGCTTCTTCTGATCACCTGGCCTCTCTAGGCCTTTCCTGTGACCGGGCCACTCTCCTCCACCCTCCTCCTTAGCCTGTCAATGTCCCCAGGCCCTCATCCCATGGTCACTTCTTCCCACAGACCTCCATGTCCATGCGTAGCTGGTCCGCACTGTGACATCGGCTGGGCCTGTGATCCTAGCCAGCACTTGTGGTCAGCGTCAGTCCATGCCTGTGCCACTGGGTCAGTGCAGGCAGCAGGGTGCTAGCCCGTCTGCTCACCTAGTGTCTTGGCACTGTGGTAGCACAAAGTTGGCACCCAGGAGTACTGTGGTTGCAGAGCAGGCAAAACAGTGCCCGCCATGCGTCACCTTGAGATCCTCAGCTATTGATTTCTGCAAACAATTACAAGGAACATATTCGCGATAGTTTTCTTCCCTGTAGTGGTGGGAGGGGAGATAAAATGGAAATGTCCAGGTTGTTTTTTGGAGGGTGCTTAAGCTCTTGGAAGCATATAGATTTCCATGAGTGTGGATAACTGAGAGGCCTGTGCCCAGGGATAGAAAAGGCCACACCTGGCCCAGTGGTGAATCTGTGTCCTGTGGCCCAGGAATGCAGGCCCTCCTGGAGAGCACAGCTCTTGTTGTATTCCATACTGGACAGTACTTACTAAACATGTACTTCTGTTGGAGGTGTTTATGTTTTTGTTTTTAATCTGAGAAGAACACCAAAAAGCTAAATTATTGCCCCTGCCGTGGTCAGTGGGACGATAGCTAATGTACATTTTACTGTTATTCATAGTAAATTTTTTGTTTGTCCATATACAAAATGAGGTCAGTAATGAGATACTAGATGAATTAATTTTGTTCCCTGGCCAAGCTTAAAAAATAAGATAAGTGTAACGAAAACAGATGTAGAGAAGGAACAAAATAAAGTTTTTCTCATGCTGTTTTTCTGTTCCCCACCCCCAGTTAGGCTGAGTTAGCATAGTATTGTGGAAGGCTCAAAGCAGGACATTTCTGCACACTGCCTTTCAATTTGCACCCCAGGATCTTTGAAGAGTTGCACCCCCAGCATCACTGTTTCCCGGCCAACTGCTCTCGATTAGCCACCCTTGGTGACAGGCCAGGGGCAGGGGTGTGTGCCCTCAGGGGTCTTGCAGTTGTGATGCGACAGCTGATGTTGCTTCCTTTTGTGCTCCCCTTCCCCACAATACAGGGCATCGATGTCCCCGATGCTCCGCTGAAGGAGACAAAGACCACCAGTCCCCGAAGGTTCATGGCTTCCTTCAGCGTCGTGAATACCACCAAACGCGACGCCGGGAAGTACCGCTGCATGATCCGCACTGAAGGAGGTGTCGGGATATCAAACTATGCAGAACTGGTTGTTAAAGGTATTTAACGTATTTTTATACCGCAAAATAGTCTGTTGTTCATTATTTGTTTAAAGCTCAAACTTATCCTTGCCTCTTTCTAAGCAAGAGTTGGATGGCAGGCTATGCCACTGGATTGCATTTTAAGTATAAATTTTGCGTGCGAGCAATATTTTTTTTCAAAAATATCAGTTATTTATGTTGTCCTAGTGGCACACAAAGCGATGAATATGCTCTTGGCAAGGTCTTCTGCCAGCTCTCTGTGTACAGATTACAACCTATAAATTTTTTTAAGGAATGAAAGTTTTTTTTACAGATAGAAAATCACTTAAAATGCAAATATTCACCAGCTAGGGTGTTTAGGCTATCAGGGTAGTTAATAAAAGAAAGCCGCGTCAGTATAAAATGCGCTGGCGGATCACACGAGGCCTATTGATGGCTCTGTGTTAGCATTCGTAATGTCCCGGTTAGGCCCTGGTACTATATTTTGCATGATACAAAATAGAGTCATTATATTCGGGAAGGTGGTGGATGAGGGATAAAAGAAGAGGGAAATCATTTCCTTTAGCTGGTTTAAGGCTTTCTTGTGGGCTATGGAGTTGATCGTATTAAGCTGCTTAGGCAATTTTTGGTTCCAGAAAAGATAATTGGGGTGTTTTAGATGTACCAGGAGGCATTTTTAGACAACCGTGGCAGGCCACCACAGCTTTTCCTAGGAGGACAGGATGAGGCCTTTTCTTATCCTATTTGCTGGTGAAAACTGAACCCAGGGCCTCATGTAAGCTGAGCACTTGCTGTCCTGCTGAGCTTCAGGCCCAGCCCTGCACTTTATTTTTCTTTTGCATTTGTTAAATATGGATAAAAATTGATACTAAAATTGGTGAAATTGATCTTCTTAGAGTAGACTACTTCTTATACCAGCAAATTCCTTATGACAGGGAGGTCCTGCCTGCAGCACTGGGAACTGGACATGAGTCTTTTGCACTGAACTATATCCCTACCCCTTTATAAATTTTTAATTATTTTGAGATGAGGTCTGTGAACATGTTGATTTCCCCAAGCTGGAGTCAAATTTATTACCCTCCTCCCTCAACCTTCCCCTAAAATACTGGCTTAAATCCCAGGACTAGCTTTGTGGGTGGGGTCAGGGCCGTGCCTTGGCATACTGTTCCCTGCATACCTGTGGCTGTCATGGCCTTAGGATCCTGGTAGGGCTGCTGGTGCCAGCTGGGCATCCACTGCCCGAGGCAGACTGGGAGCAGTGTGGACAGTGGGAGCGAGTTGAGCTGGAGGCTGGGGATGTGGGGAGCGTGGGGACTTCTTGAAGGCCATGCTTAGGAGGGGCAGATGCTGGCACAGCTACTGGAGTCAACTGCCAGTCACAACACACTCTTAAGTATTTAGTTTATGGTAAAACTGGCTACTACTTGCAGTTCAGGGTTAGAATTTATAGCAAAATTTGAATTCTTCCTTGCCAACTGCACTGCACCCTGTGGAAAGACCTGGGAGGACCAAAGAGCTGGCGCAGTGTCCAGCGCTGAGTTTGTGGCCACCCTCCTCTTTGCTGGTGGCTTTTCACTCTCCTCCTGCCTCAGCTTTCTGGGATTCTTTCTCCTCTGCCATCCGGAGCTGCTTTTCTGTTTCCCTGGACGCAGCGCTGAGCAGGCCTCCACACTGCCTTGTCTCTACGGAGCAAATTTAAAAACTGCATCTGTAGGAAAGTTAACTTCAGGGAGCTGTAAGAAAGTGAGAGATTTCTCATCCTCAGGCACAAAGGTGAAGGGGTCTTGCTCATGCCCATGGCCGACATTTTCCTGTCTTGGGACGAGGTGGCAGCCTTCGGGCTCACTGAGGAATGTGACAGAGCCAGGGACAGCAGCAACTGTCAGGTCCACAGGGCTCATGTCTGAAACTTGTCTTTTCCGCCATGTATACATGTGGAACCACGTTCTGTAGAGACTTCATTTCCAATAAAAAGTGACAGTATGCTGGACTCTACTAGTTTAATGTTTCCTGAGACAGTTGTTTCGTGGTGAACAATAGCAGGCTCTTTGTCTCTACCATAGCACCTGTCCCATGCTGTGTAGTGTGTGAAGTGCTAACAGCTCACAAATGAGGAAGCAGATCTGAAGCCTGTGCAGACAAGCGTACCCTGTGCCCGGGTGTGCAAGGTCTCGCGTTGCTGCTCGGCTCTAGAGCTAGCTTTATGGCACCCTTCCACTTGAGCTAAATAGTTTGAGCTCGGCACATTGGTGTGCACCTGTAATCCTAGCCGCTCTGAAAGCTGGCCCTGCAGGATTTCGAGTTCAGACACAGCCTGGGGAGCATAACATAATGAGATCCTTTCGGAGAAAGAAAGAAATATTTTCAATTGCTTCGTCCTTTTTTTTTTTTACTTTGATGAGATGAGATTCATCCTTCCGTCCTATTTCTTCTCTCCCTTTGTGAACAATGTATTCCTAATTTAAATGTTGACTTACTACTAAAAGTTCTTTTGGATGTGTTTCCCAGTCGTTTCCAAGCCCCCTTTGGCCCTGTGCCCCTGATTTGCACCTTGAGTGGCAGCTCAACAGCCCTTGCTAGCCCCTGCAGCGTGGAAGTAACTGACCTGTGCCTGGCCACATGAGTGCCCTAGGATGTCCTATAAAGGGCCCACCTCTTGTCATGGAACTACCTAATGCCATAAATTAGTATTAAATCATTATGGGTTCAGTCACAATGGCTTAAAGCACAGAGCGTGTGTGTAAAAGCAACAGGAACTATGGTTAGTGCATTTACACAATGACTGTCATCCCTTCTGGGGATGACATTCGAAATTTGATGTCTTGTTTCAACTCTATCTAATGAAATTACCCCCACTCTTATACCATTGGTGTGACTTGTCACACCTTGAATATAATAAGACAGACACCCACCCCGGCAGAGGGGACGATAGTGTTGTGGCTTCATAGGGGGTCTTCTACTCAACCTGGCGTCATCTCAGCTGTGGCCTTAGATGGAACCTGCCCTCTGAGAGCTGGAAATGAGCCTGGGAATGATTTGCCGTCTGCCAAAGAGATGGCAGGCAGACCTGCAGCAGGCAAGTCCCCACCTCCTACGGACAGGGCAGAGAGGGTTTATTTTTCCTGCATGTAGTCTGAGCAGAAAAACAAAAACACCCCAAAGGGGCGCAGACCACCTGCAGGAGCACTGTGGATAAATGGCCATGTGGGGCTTTTCTGAGGGCGTGACTCCTCCAAGTACACATCTTTACTTTGTACAGCGGCCTTGCTGTTCTCGGGCGGTGCGCTCACCACAGCGTGGGCCTCAGCCAGCATCTAACTGATGCACTGGGAAAGCTGGGAAACGAGTCTCTCCTGCATCACACAGTGGGGCAGAGTAGGTCTGGGCTTTAAACAAGAGAGACTTCTTTGGCCTGGAATGAGTGTTAGCTGTTGATTTCTTGGGCTTTTATCAAGCAGGGCATTGCTTGCTCTTTGATTCAGAGCTTTCTTTTCTGTTCTCTGCTTTAATAAGGGCTGCTAGTGGATGCCCCCGGGCAGCAGCAGCAGTGGATGCTTCTCTCTAGAGTGTTCAGTTCTTTTCCAAAAGTCCACTGCGATAGTTTGGGGGACTGTCATCCTGGAAATGCATTTGTGATGAGGGGAACTGTTATGTCAGTCATGTTTTCAAAATGGTATCTTTGAAAGATAAATAAAAGGGAGCTCAAATTAATGATGTAGAGAGTTTTAATACTTCTAATGATTTTGAAAAAGTTCTCAGAGAAGAGGCTGACAGTGGAATGCTGCCTAGCACTTGAATACCACCATGTGAGAGTGCGTGTACCTGCTACTTTTAGGGAAAGGAATCAGAAAAATGTGGTGATCCTATAGTCAGTGCCCAGGTTGGCTTCTGGCTTCTGGGCTCAAGTGACCTTCCGGGATGTACACCATGACACCTGTTTGAGAAGACTTAGCTTTCTGCCTGAGGCTGGGAACGCGCTTTCCAGTGTGCAGGCTCTTACTCATCTGGAGGAAGCCCTCTTGTGCGCTCCTGCCCCCCCAGGAACATCTCCCCTTTAGTCACTCACCCGGGCCTGCTTCTCTTTTCTGGGGCACAAACAGCTCAAGGACAGTTCTCTGCCTTTCTTCCAGAGCCTCCCGTGCCCATCGCACCACCGCAGCTGGCCTCAGTGGGTGCCACCTACCTGTGGATCCAGCTCAACGCCAACTCCATCAATGGTGACGGGCCCATCGTGGCCCGAGAGGTGGAGTACTGCACAGCCAGTGGCAGCTGGAGCGACCGGCAGCCCGTGGACTCCACCAGCTACAAAATTGGCCACCTGGACCCAGACACGGAGTACGAGATCAGCGTGCTGCTCACCAGGCCGGGTGAGGGAGGCACGGGGTCTCCTGGGCCAGCTCTCAGGACAAGAACCAAGTGTGCTGGTGAGTACTGCGGAGATCCCGCAGCTGGACCTCAAGGTCTTTCGGAGAGGGCTGGCGGGGATCGAGCTCATCTCACTGGGGAGCCCTGGTCTCCCCAGTCCCTCACATGCCACATATATGTGGGAATTCTCCCTGCCTTGAGAGGAGTGGCATCAAAGCTGGGGGCACTGGGACCTGAGACCTGGAGGCTCAGTGTGTGCTGGCTGTCTCCCCTCCTAATTTACACCTTGTTCTTGGTAGCATGTGGTTCACATGAGGATGTTCCCTGACATCCCAGAAGCTGCGTGTTTCGGTGAGAGCTGCTGAGGGCCAGACCACCTCCTGCCTCTGGGTTTGGGTTTAGAGTTCCTATTTTGTGGCCTTCACGGTGACATGGCCCACCTTGCAACTGAGGGCTGTGCAGTACTGAGTGCATGCTGGGCACTGCGGACTGGGGAGCATATTCACGAGAGATGTGTGGGCCGCATGAAGCCTTGGGGTTCTTGGGTTGCAGCGCCTGATTGCGCTAAGCGTCTGCTGCATGGAGTTGATAGAGAGGGAAGTGTAACTCCTGGAAAGGTCAGGCCAGGAAGGAGCACCTGTTGGAGGTTCTAAGATTGCCTGTGCGCAGGAGAAGCAGCAGCATGTTGGGGTCCTGCCATGTGCTCTGTCGTGGACTTGAGGGGTCCTTGTGTCAGACTTTGTGTGCTGGGAGAAGATAGTCTATGAATTTTCATGGAGCTAGTCTTCATGTATGTTAAGAAGGTAAGAATTATGGGCTGTCTGAGCACCTGCCTGGCAAGTGCAAGGACTGGAGTTTGATCCCTGGCACCACAGGCTGCGCTGGCCCTGGAGCCCCGGCCGTGCTCACCAGCCACCAGAACTGGGCGTGGTGGTGCACACCTATGATCCCAGTGCTGGGGAGGCTGAGACAGGGGAATCACTACAAGTCTGATCTGTATAGTGAAGCCCTGTACCAAATAAATAAACTTACTTATTTTGAAAATTAAAGAAGATAAGAATCAGTACATTTTATTTCTTCTCCAAATTTTAAAAGCAGTTTTCCCTCTATATGTGTGCGTTTCTCAATCACAGATTTAATCCAAAATATTGGGGGAAAGTTAGTTGTGTCTATTTTGAATCTGTACAGGCTCTTTTTCTTGTCATTATTTCCTAAACAGTGCTGTGGCAGTAGTTTGCACAGTGCTTCCCTTGTACTAGCTGTTAGTGAGTAGGGCCAGTGTAAAGTGTGCAGGAGCCTGGCGTAGGTTCTGCTCCATTCCAGGTGGATTCTACTCCATTCCAGATGGGTGCTTCAGGGGAGCACCGAGGCACGTCAGACTCTCGAGGGTCCCGGAACTCACACATTCCACTCTGCAGGAGCTCATGGACTACTCTATCAGCACCTTCTGATGCTGTCCTGTAGGCATGGAGGAAATTATTTATCTTGAATAGTGGCAGTTCGTTGTGTTTTCTCAGTGTGATGTGGATTGCACTGTACCCCGAGTGCACACTTGTGGGGAAGTGGCTCCTGCTAGAGGAGCTGGTGGTGTTCTTTCTTCAGGGGATCCCTGCCGTGAGGTGGGGACAGCCAGTAAGCAGACTGCATGCAGCTCTCCGGTGCTCCTGCTGGTCCCACAGAGTCCTCACAGCCCCTCCTGCTGGGGTCAGCGCTGGCCCGCAGGGCTGCTCCCTACCCCATCTGGATGCCAGGGAGAAGGAGGCCTTTAGTCTTGGCCTGCCTTGTGGTTCTTCATCTCATTATCTCTCTTTCAGAGCTGGGTACCTCCCTTTCTTTTTGTGAAATATTTTTATGTTGCATCGCTTGTTTTAAGGCAAGTGGTGACTTCGCGTAACACTGCCCAGCTCTCTTTCCCACTTGCTTTTAGATCTGTGAATTTCATAACTACCTATGCGGTGTCCAGGGCAGATGCCGAGGTCTCCAGTCTGGAAGCCCTGAGGGGCCTCTCCCGCCTCTAAGTGTGGGCTGCGGAAATCACCACAGTGTGATCAAAAGGACCCCTGTTTGGGCCATGGGGGTGCTGGATGCAGCGGCCTTCTCTCTAGCAAAGGCCAGGGTGTCATTGTCTACGCTGGAGAGAGAACGGGGCCTGTCTCATTCTGGTCCCTTGTGCTTCCAGTCCTATTCTTCTTTCCACAATTGCCATTTCTCTTGGTTTTGTCCCTGGACCCTTCAGCTGTTGATGCCCTGTGGTAGACATCTTCCAGATTGGACAGCGGCCCCTCAGTTATCGTGGAGGTTACATTCTAGACACCCCCGCGGAAGTGAAAGTCAGCAAAGTAGCGATGTTATATTTTATATATTTAAAATATATATAAAATATTTATATATTTTAAGGCTTTATAAACCCTTCCCATACTCTTATAAACCTTTCCCACACTTTAAAAAATACTTCTAATGTTCTTAACCATTTTCTAAACTCGTAAACCTATGTAATTTTAACAACATACATGTACTGCATAGTACTATAAAATCCCATGCTATAGTGAAAAATCCATGATAAATAATTTAGATTAACACTTTTTGAAAACCTGTGAACCAGTGACAGTCAAACCGCGAAGTGGCGAGGGGCCGCCAGAGTGCGGAGTGTGTCTGCAAGAAGCCTTTCGATGCCGGTGCCCCATGGGGAGGCACGTCACCCCCAAAGAGCTCGGATGTTTTTATACTAGATGAGCAGTCTACTTTAAGGAAAAAAAAAATGAAATCAGAGTTAGAAATAAGAGGGAAAACAGGTGGGTGAAGAAAGTCAGAGACACGAGACGTTTTACTCTGCGAAGCAGTATGACAGAGCTACCCGACTTGGCCTGGGGCTTTTGAGAATATGTTCAGATAGAATCGGTCGCTGCTGTTGGCCATCCGTGTGGGCCTGTGCAGAGCTGGACACGAGGACAGGTGACAGGCTACAAACAAGGGCTGGAAAGTTCCCTGATGGCCCCAAGCTGTGTGCAGGTGGCCTGGAGCATTCGCGGGCTTTACACCAAGCAGCCATGGCTCTCAGAAGCCAGGGACGGACGGAGCCTCACAGCCAGGGGTGGGAGTGGCCTTGCGCAGACTGGATCGGAGGATGCAACGAAAGAGCGCAGAGAGCAAGACGTAAATATAACTCACGCTGTATGATTAAACTGACAGCAGGCCTAGCGTGGACTCGGATCCTAGCAATTAGCAGCAGCGAGCCAGAAGCTATCGAGGACTTGGCTTAAGTGCATGTCGGTTTATTGTTATGATCTACATGGCATTAAGCCCCTTTTGAGGCCAGTGCATCCTAACCCCTCCAAAAAGGAAAAAGTCCCATGCTATAACCTTAGGTTTTAGTAGGAAAGCCACCTGCCCATCTTGAGGGAGGTGGCAGTCTTCTACCATGTGGGCTAGGATGCTAGGAGGGTCCCGGTGTCTCTAGTCCCTGCATGGAAAGGTACACAGTGAACAGCTTGTGTCTGGGGCAAGAGTGGCCAGGATCTGACAGGTTTGGGTACTTGTGGGGTTTGTGAGGACCCAGAAAGGCCTGAGAAGGTGGCACAAAGGACAGGACCCCGTGCACAGCGAGCTTTGTGTGGCTGCCCGCGCAGTGGGACCTGGCCTTGGAGAAGTGACTTCTGACCTCAGGTGGGTGGGGGGCCTGTCAGTGTGAAGATTCTGTGGTGCCCCTGCTCTCACTATGAAGTCACCCCTTACGTGTTCCCGCCCCCCCCAGTCTCTCTGCCTCCCCCCGAATCTCACCTCACCTCACCGCAGCCGTGCTGATGCAGTCCTGCCCTTTGGTGACCTTCCCAATGCCTGAGTGCAGAGGTAGGTAATGAGGGCTTGTCATGGCTGCACAGGTCACACTAGAAGGGCTGGCTTCCTGTGAGGTGTGACACCCGGCTTTTGTGCCAGGAGGTCATCCTGAAGGTGCAAGAATGATGCAGGTGGTGCCAGGCTGAGTCGGCGGGTGAGGACGGGCACAGTGCCCAGATGCCTGTGTGCAAGCAGCCCTGGCTGGAGCTAGACCTGTGGCCCTAGGAACACTGCCGTCCTCCCCTGCACACCCCTAGTCTGTCTGTAAAGCGGGGTGATCCGCGTGTCCCAGAGGACTTGAAGTCTTGAGCTGCCCGTGTGTCTCACCGGTGCAGAGAACACAGCCTCATTTAGGCCAGCAGAGTGAACAACTACCTAAGAACAATTATTTGCCTTTTAACATTTTCATTAAAATATTGGCATGAACAACCTGATTTTATCACCCCAGATCTTTTAGCAATATTATTTGGCTGGGAAACCTAACGCCTGGGAAGCACTGTTTTCTTTCATGAGCCCGTAGCATTCTCTGCCGTCTGGCTTTAGGTTTCTGACTGACATCATTTTCTTTTAAATCCATTTGCTTTATCCAAGCTCTCTTTCCTTCCCAGGTGGCGCAGGGCCCTGCTGCTGAGTCTTGGTGGCCCCCATGAGACAGTATTTAGCTTCTTGTGTGAAGGGAGCGGAGTCACCATTCCTTGTCCGCCCTTCAAGCCGGGGACAGGCTTCCCTGACTGGCTTGCAGTGTGCAGTCTCACTACCTAGCGGGCTCACCCGCACGCAGGAGAGCCGCGGAAGGGCCGCAGCCGCAGAGTACTTGCTGGAGGCCGCTGAAGTGCAGACCCCGTGCCGGCTCTGTGGGCGAGAGATGGCCCCATCATTTAGTTTCTGGAATCCTCAGCTTTGTCTCCACCCTGGAGAGGCAGCTCCTGCCTGGCTGTCTTAGAGGGGCTTTGAGGACCAGGTGAGGTCTGCTTTGTGAAAGTATTTTTAAAATAAGACACTCTGCCTGTAAGCAGCCACCTCCACGCTTGCTGCACGCAGCTGGCCATGTCCTAACTTGACAGCTCAGCTCTGGGCCAGCAGTTCTGGAGAGTGGAGATCACTGGCACCCACTTAAACAAAGCACAGTTGAGTTTGTGGCTTCTCTTACGTATCACTCTTACAGTGCTGCGCAGCCCGTGTATCCTGAGCCATTCAGTGGGAACTACTCAAGAGAGACGTGTGC